GTGTTAAAACAACCTTGGTGGAGCACCACCGCGCAGCCAGGTTGCTCGAGCACAGGTTCATGCCAGGAAGCTCGCCCAAGCAAAGCTGCAAGCTCAATGGAAAAAACCTGCAGGATGACACAGAAGACCACCGAGACAGACAGTACATTGAGCCCAGGTAACCACAAGACCAGGGACAGCATACAGAAGCTCAGGAGCAGGTGGACAGCAGAGGAAAGGGTGGGGAGAGGGTCGGGCAGCCAAACAGTCCCACACCTCCTCAATGAGTCCTTTTTCTTCCTTCCCTTTTCTTTCCCCCTCAGAGAAGTCCAGCTCACTGTATTCCAACCTGCCTGCCTGTTTCCTCAACGGCAGCAGCTGTGATGGTGTTGTTGTTCTTACTCTCCGGTGACAGTGGTGGAAGCAGCAACAATTGTAGTTCTAATGTTTGTTGCTGTTGCAGTGGAGATAAGAGAATAAAAAGCATCAAAGGAGGGAGGCAAGAAACAAAGAATAAACAAAGAAAGCAAAAGGAAAGAGACCAAAAAGAAAAAAGCCGACCCAGCAGGAGGAAAAAAACAACCTACTGCTAGCGGGTTGCCATCTTGAACCATACATGCCTATAATCTGCAGGGATTTTTTGTAAGGTGGCTTCTATCACAAAGCTCTAGGAAACTTTCCAAGCCATTTATTTGACAGTAGCTTTTAGGAACTTGGTGAAAAGAAGATGGGGATGGTGGCAGTGCATATGCATTTCCAAGTGAGGTTAGTGGGGGAATCAAGTTTGATTAGGGACCATGGTATGTGAACATGAACAATTGTAATTTCTTTTAAAGACTAATCAATGTCCTTTACTGAATGTTTGCTGTAGCTGGTGTCAGAGAAAAAGTTAATTTTCTCCTCCCTCCCATCCCATAATTCCAAACCTTAAGTAATATTGTCCAGTAGCAGTACATTCTTTGTCTAAATATCTCCTCCTTTCCCTTCTGTTTCTTATTAATATGAAGTTAACAAACCCTTAGGAACCAAGTAGGGTATCCTAACTATAAGTATAACTATATATAGTTATAGTTATAATAACTATAATATAACTTATCTCTCTCTCTCTCTCTCTCTCTCTGTGTGTGTGTGTGTGTATGTGTGAGAGAAAGAGAATACACATAATAGTGTATGGAGAAAATGCCTTCCTGCTTCCTGACTGAGTGCATGTGTGCTTGTTTGTTTGGACAGGAATGGCTACCTTAATCTGAATATGTACTTCTGTGGGTGTCTGTCTCTGCTGACATTCATACAATGTGTGGATGTGTGTGTTTGAGAGGACACTGACTAAGTTGTATATAACAAAGAGTGAGATCGTGCATGCAGATACCTGCCTGTTTCATCCACTTCCCCACCAATTACCGTGGGCACACATCAGCTGGCCAGCTAAGAATGAATGGAGGTGGGTGTCCAGAGACTTTAAAGTGATCTCACCCCAAAAAAGTCAAAATTTCTTCTTTCAGTGCTCTCTAAGATTTACCTCTCTGCCTGGAGACACATAGTAATTCCCCGAAATGTCAGCTGGCATACACAGATGTGGCAGCCCTAAGTGAGTATAGTACTGGTGACTTACCTGTCCTCTTCACATAACACCTTTATTTTTAGAGTTGGTCTGGAGCTCTGTGGGAATGTGTTGGGTTAGGAGACTGCTTTTGCCACCTCTCCTTTTCTTCAAATTCCTCTGCCCTCTTTCCTGCAGTGTTACAAAGGGATACTGCATTGTGAAAGGAAACCCTGAGGTATTAGGGCCAAAGGAAACAGAGATGGAGCAGCATTTTGATCTCCTACTTTCTCACTCAGTGCAAGGCCTAAGTTTAAAATTGAGGGGTGAGGATTGGAGAGGTGCATACCAGCTTCTCTGTCCCACCCCTTTCATTTCAGAAATGTATGTGAGGCACTCTTGCATAAAGGCAGGGAGCACCTGACACAGTTCTTTTTATATGAGGTGCATTTGACTATGTCTCTATCACAGGGATGGCCCTGCTATGAGACTGAGATAGTCAAGGCTGTGGTGACACCATCAAAATGTTGTCAAGTTACTTCTCATGAATTTTGACTCCTTTTTTGGAGTTGAGACAACACAAGGCCATTATCAGTTTTTTTTTTGTTCCCCCCTCTGTGCTATCTCTGCATCAAATTCAGCATACTGGGAGGCTACTATTATATTTGTTCCGTGTTTCATCACACAGTACAGCCAACATCCCATTGAGTGTGTACTCCAAAAACTATTTATTTCTTTTACATCTGGCAAGCAGCTCCACCTCCCTCACCTGGTGTTGTTCAGCTCCCTTAATTTTTTAAATTAATTTCAAATGGGAAAGTCAGCATGTTGGTTTATTTTTTTCAAAAATAGAGCACCAGTCTTCCTACTATCTTTTGACCACCACTGAAGTGTGCTGTGGGTTCTCCTCCATAGAGAGAAACAAAGCATGGAAATGAGAAGAAATGGCCCAGATCTGTACGTGGTCAGCAAAGGTGTTTTGCTCACACAGTGATGTACCCACACAATTAAAAAAAGAGGGGAGGCGGAAGAGAAAGGCACAAAAAAAGGAAGGGGATATGTCCTGCTCGAGTGGTATAGACAGACGTACTACATTTAATTCACCCCAAAAAAGCCAAAAGATTAAAAAAAGTATGAACCACTGTGGCGATCCCCCTTTGTGCCCTTTATATCTCTGGGCTCTACAAAGGTAAATATGCCCTTTTCGCTGCCACCAGGTATTATCTTAATACCAAATCAAGTCCCACACACACAGGAGCTGCTCCTAGAACTTAGGAATCAAAGGGTTTGATCAAATATTCTTTTATTAATGAACAAAATCATAAGGAGAATCAAATACTGTATATAACTGTGTCAGGTATGCATACATTAAATCATGTATTCAATCGCTGGTATTCCTTATGTTATGCTTAGATGTTCATTCCTGCTTGTTCAATATATTTTACTCTTTCAATTTCCTTTCTTAACCCCTTTTTAGCTATCCCTAAACCCTCTTTCTCAACATCTTGTGGTCCCTAACTCTCTCTATCGCTCCCTGATTCCAACTGTCTCTCTAACTGTCTCTTCTAGCTGTCTTAACTGTCATTCTGACTCCGCCCCATCCTGCTCTATCCTCTGATTGACATGCAGGAATGACGTCATCTTTTGGATTCCGCTACAACCACTTTTACAGGATATATGCCACGTGACCACAGTGCATGACTATACAGGAAGCAGAAGACACTAGAATGAAAGAGGGCATTTGTCTAGTCTGATTGCAGCCTCATATTACAGATGCTTCGAGGCAAGAACAAAATGAAGGCGAGATCTGTGCATCATGCAATTTGTCCTTCACTGTTTGAGCTTCACTGTTGCCTTCAACAGGATATTATCCTATTTTTTGTGCCAAAGAAAGACTCAACTAACTGCCAGTCTGGCCAGCTTTAGTACCTGAAAGGGGAGAAGGAACCATCTTGTTCTCTGCCTCAGGTAGCAAAATGTCTGTTATGAAATGTATGAGTTGTATTTTTAATGGGAGATGCTATAACAAAATATTATCTTGGGTGTTTTCCATGGCTTGTTGTGAACCTCTTAGGGTCCTGTGAACACAGATATGTCATATACAAATAATGGTCTGAATCCTGTTGGTCTCCAAGATAAGGACTGTGCAACTTGCTGAGGTTGATTATAGCTAATTGATACAGTGCCACAGTATGCGTCGATCAATGTATGATCACATGTCCAATCCAACAATTGAGATCCACCCCAACACCTTGTTAATTAGCCACAATTAGCAGCAGCAAGATACACAACAATTACTTGAACAGCAGTAAGATTTCTGTCCATGTCACCATCATCAAAACTAAAGGTAGTGAAGATAATACCACTGTCACTCTGAGAAAATTAAATTACAACCCATGGGACCATCAATATTCACAGACAGGGACCCAATTCCTTTGATCCAGTTCCATTTTCTGAGACTTTTTGGTCACTTCTCACTATGTAAATGAGCCATATGGACCTTTGCATCAGTAATGAAGGAAAAAGTGGATAATAGAGATATTACACTGTGGGTTCAGGATTTTTAATCAATGCCTTGCCAAGAACATTAAGCTATGTTAAGATTTTATAGGTGGAAGAGGGGAAAAAAACTCAAGAAGGGAAGAAACCAGCATTGCTGCACAGATATGTGGATTTGAGGATGGTAAGGTAAACACTAGAGTTAGGCCAGACCACTGCCAGAGTGCCATGGGATATACAGTAATTAAAGAATGACTGTATAAAGAATGACTGCCCCTCAAGATTCCACACCTGCTGCTGAGAGACAAGCTCCTCCCTTCTTCAGTTTGTTTGGTGTTTTGTGCAGAATCCCTTCCCCTTTAAGAGCAAAACATGCATACACAGCAAGTGCAGACAGTGATTATAAAAAGAGACAAACAGTCCCTTTCAATGCAAATACAGGAGTAGGTGATACCTTTAATCGATCATTAAGGATATCAAACAAAAGCAAATAGCGAGCTTTCAGTGATAAATCATCTTCAAGGATTTATCATCAAAAGCTTGCTATTTGTTTTTGTTGTTTGTTTTACATTCATATATATAAAACACCTACATACTCCTGCATTTGTATTGTTTCCACAACCATATGGTCTTATCCTGATTAGTCCCATTCAAGGCTTTAAGTGACCCTTGAACTAAGAAACCGTCTTTACAGTTTTGCCCAATTCTGTGTAAATTTCTGGGGTTTTGTGCTAAAATAATCATCCAAACAATTTCAATGATGATTTGAGAAACTCAAGAAATTTCAGCCTGTCCTTTCTGGCAAAGAGAAGGGGGTGGTGATTACTTATCTTCACTTGTGATGAGGAGACAAGCAAGGGTTTATACCTTAATATAAATTGATTACATAATCAAAGTTTCCATCAAGAGAGGAAGTTATCTGTTATGCTGCTCTATAAATCACTTTTGGTGTCTCACATTTTCTTCACATTCTACTAGGACAACTCATATCTCTTCATCGCTTCAGGGAGTGTGAATTTTTATCCATAATTTCCAATGAAGGAAACAGTAGAATTAACCAACCTCAGAGATGAAAGTTCATGAATCTCATAAGTAAATTAATGCTTTGATCTTACCAACTTTAGCAGGATGCATTCAAATTGGAGATTGTCTTTTCTGAGGTAGGGAGAGACAAAGCAACCTATTTTCAGTCCCTGTGTGCTTAGTTGAAACTAGAGCTTGGAACATTAATTTTAAGAAGAATTAATATAACAACCTGCTGAAGCCATCATTAACTGAGCAGCAGTAGGATGATGCTCTGTGGTCTACAGTATCATCCTATCACTTCTGGGTTATGGATGGTTTTAGAATATCTTTGAATTCTTTCTGTTCATTCTATCAGTGATTTTTTTAACAAAACAAAAAAAGGGTATCTACAATATCTTCATGCATAATATTTTCATTTTGTTTCACACAAATAGCACATCTTTCCCCATTATATTTTTATATACAGTGGCTGAAATCCAGTAGTAAGTCACACCCACTGAATCAGTGGAAATGGCGGAGGACTCACCAAATCCCCAGTAATTCAACAGACCTATTCTAGTTGTAACTTTCCAAACTTTCCACTGGATTTTTAGCCAATGATACTTAGTATTTCATATAAGCATTTTTAATATACAGTAACTTTTCTAATACATCTCAAAATGTGACTGATTTTTTTAGCCCCAAATTACACTAAAACCTGGAAGTAATCTTAATGTGAGCACAGAGTGCTGTCCTCTGAAGATGACGGCCACAGAGACTGGCGAAACGTTAGGAAGAACAACCTCCAGAACATGGCCAAAGAGCCCGAAAAACCCACAACAACCAATCTTAATGTGACTTAAGTCTGTTCACATAAAATTGTGGAACAAATTCCCTACCCTCTTGATGGATATGGGAATTCCCACTGCAAGAGGTGTCCATCTAGATCTTTCAGTCCTGAAAGACCTGAAGGACCACTAGGAGTTGTGTCATTGCAGGAGGGTGAAAATGACAGAGGACTTTCTAAATGGAGCCACCTTAGCTATTTAATCCCCACCCCTGGCAATTAACTGGATATCATTTCACTGCCAGAAGAAGACCTTTCAGTTTCCTCAGGCCTTCAGACCTTTGTTTTATGCTTTTTAGTATCTGACTTGTCTTATACTGTACTCTCCTTTTATTCTTTTTTTAATCACTATGAATTTAAACATTGTGGTTTTTTTGTTGTTCTTACAGGCTGCTCTAAAAGCTCTCTTACAGAACAGCTAATAAATGCTTTGAATACATTTTATGCTTTTGAATGCTTGAAGTGAATCTTCAGTAGCATGAGACTGCAGCATGGCTCTAATATTAATTCCAAACAAAGTGTACCACAGAAGTTCTTGAAATTCATGTGTACTCTCTTCATACTCCACTTAATAACATGTTCACTGGGAAGAGTAAAAATATGTTACCTCTTCTACATTTTAAAAGAAATACTAGTAAGTGGGATGCAGAAAATACAGAAACTATTTCCCTTGTAGAATAATGGCTGCACAGTGGCTGATTTTGTGGTCATAAAAACTGGAAGTTGCTACAGGCCTACAGTAGGAAACCGCAGCCTTGAGTTCATGAGAGCTAAACAGGGCTGTTAATGATAGGACATTTTGGAGATAATTTTTTCATAATGTCACCTAAGTCAGAGATGACTTGATGACACGTAAAAACAACAAGAACAACAGGCATATGGAGCTTAGTGCATTAGTTCATTTATTAAGAGGTAAACAGTGTGTGGGCCAATCCTACCATCTATGCTTGATGTTTCAAGTCTTAGAAATCCTGTCATTCTTAATGCTCTACTTGATCTTCCTTTCAGCTCTATGATAAAAGAACATGTTTTGAAGCTGGAAGATACCCTGCTGCTGCAGATGTGTAGGTGAAATTTTGCTCAAATACCCATTTGGCCATGGAAACTCCAGTGTTGAACTAGTGAAACCACTCCTTTAATATCTGACTTAACAAGAGTTCTATCCTATCTTGTCAGATTTATTAAATATAGTGTATTTATGAGTTTTCAAATCTGAAAACTATGAACTACATCACCCCTCAATTTATATTCCCTTTTAATATATAACAAATGTACCTCATGAATTGTCCTCTAAGGAAGATGTCTAAAATTATTACTGCTTGGTAATAATTAATCTCTCACTCCTACTAAAGAATTTCTACCCTGAGTACATTCTCGACATACAAGAGAAGGCCCATATATTAAACACTGAACGTTTTTATCATTTCCCAACCTTTAGGGTCATGTCTTTTATTCAGTAACCCTTCTCACAGCAAAAGTTCAGTCTTAAATGCAACTTTAATATTTTGAGTTGATTTGAAATGTTGCCTGATTTGAAATATATGTGACATGTTTCAGGGATGGCTAATATTGATGGCAACTTTTTTTGCTATTACCAGGCCTCTTTAGGTGATAAGGTCAAATAGACACTGTTTAATACTTATCATTTCAATCTTGCTGACCCATCTTGTGCTCAGCCCTGCATAGCTCTGACCTCAGAGTTTCTTCTGAGACCTTGTGCAATTATTGTTCAAGCAATGTTCCTTCCTAACCCTGAGTGTGATGGGAATTAATTCAATTTTTTTCTTAGCTATTGCCCAGACCACCTTGTGAATTAGTCGTTGCTATCAGTCACTTTTTGTACAGAAAAATGTTATAGTGGTGGGAAGAAATTAAGGACCTGAGGAATCTGAAAAATTAAAGTCAGTTTCTGGACTCTTCTGTGTATCAGCAAGGGTATGGGAACTTAATCTCTTAACTAGAGAGCAAATGGTATAGGTAGTTTGCGCCTTCCACCTCCCCCCTATAACTTCAAAGGACAGATACTTCCATGCTTATTTTACATCAAGAGGCCTCGAACACCTTGGGCTGTAAGCCCTGCCTTGGGGAAAGTCAGCTCACTTTCTTTCCAAGAGAGCTATGCAGATTAGTGGGTCAGGAAAGCTGCCCTTTGTCTTGTAGAAGGATCAAAGAAGAATAATAGCAATTACTTTGAGTGCTGGAAGTCAGGGATAACTTTAAAATTGTGGACCCAGGCTTGCTCATCCGTCAAAACAAAGCTAAGTGAGAAAAGAAAGAGAATCGTAAGTCATTAAGAATTTACCACGTGGTGGTGTTTGGAAATTAAAGCCCTGAAGGATTCTGGAGTGGACATGAGCAGCATTGATTAATCCTTCCTCCAGGGTGTGAAAGTGATGGGGTAGAAGAACTGATTACTCAATATGCACATATGACATTATTGAATATTGAACTTGAGGGATGGAGGGGAAAGAAATGTGCACTTTGCCCCCCCCAAAAAAATCCTGAATTCCTTCTGGACACAGATCTCCTGTATCAGGAGACCTCAATGCAGTGCATAACCATGTGTAGTGAAGCAGCCAGCTCAGAGGACCTCACCTCCTTCTTCAGAGGGAAAGGGAGTGGGGTGGGCAAATGCTTTTTGGAAACTGTTTCCTCCTTGGAGCCTCATACACAGCCACTATGAGGCAAAGTTATGTTCTTAGGTCATGTTGTAAGAAGAGGAAAATTTCAGTCACTGGAAGCCAAAGTGTAAAGTATTAGAGAAGGACCAGTGTCTCAGAATGAAAAGCAAATCATGTCCTTTTTGGATCTGGTAGTTTATTTCCCACTTCAATACCACTGCAAGTCCTTTAACAGACTTATGTAAGAAACACATGCTGGTGAAAATTCAATGGATATAGACTTGCCAACAAGTCTCTAACACTTTAAAGCAGTGGTCCCCAACCTTTTTCGACCTGCAGACCGGTTGGGTGTGCGGGTCCATGAGCACGGGGGGGCGCTCGCGTGCATGGCACAGGGCGTGCTCACGGGGGTGCTCACTTGCATGTGCAGATGGTGCAGGGCATGCTTGCAAGGGATGGGCACCCATGCATGCCGGTGGGTGGGCAGTGCATGGAGGGGTGCATGCAGGGGGGTGGGGCAGCTGTCTCCGCAGCCCAGTCCTGCCAAGGCTACGGACTGGCACCAGGCCGCAGACCGGGGGTTGGGGGCCCCTGCCTTAAAGTATAAGTTGGTGACAGCTCATACTTATTCAAATAAAAATGCATCTTATTATTAAAATACTGCACTTAATAGACCTTCCCATTGACATTATACAACAATTTCCTGTAAGACACTGTACAAATGAAGAAATTACAGTGGTGTCTTGCAAGACGAATGCCTCGCGGAATGAAAAAATCGCAAGATAAACGGGTCTTGTGCGGTTTTTTTGTGCCTTACAAGATAGGCCGTCTTGCAATATTTTTCGTTTTGTGATTCAAGTTTTTCCATAGGAATGCATTCAAATTTAATTAATGCATTCCTATGGGAGGGAAAAGTCAGAAAAAAAGTCACTTACATGATAGTAAGACCGAGTAGACCAAGCCCCACTCCTCCTTGGTAGCCCGGGAACAGCCGGACTCTAGTGCCAAACAGCTGACCATCAGAAAGCAGCAGAGAGGCGGCAGCCATTTTGAGATGTATACATACACACACACACACACACACACATAATAGAGAGAGAAAGAACTATTTATATAGTTACATATAGTTATATAATTATAGATATAGTTATATAGTTTTTTCATATCAAAATGGTTGCCACCTCTCCAAAATGGCAAAATTTTCTCAAGACGGCATTAACTGTGGAATGGATTTTGTCTTGCAAGGCACCACTGTAGCTGGCTAATATCATTCCAGGAAAGTTCAAGAGGTTGACGTAGTACAGACAAACCCAGTTAAATAGGTGAAGATTACTTTTGAACCTTTCTGTCATCTGGTGCCCACTGCAGCTGATAGGGTGAAGGTCAGCCAAGGAAGAGCCAAGGGGTCACCAGAGCTGGAGTCTACATGTGAAGAGATATGACAAGGAGAAGCAATACAATGAAAACACACAACACACACACAGTTTATGCAGATATATTCATGAGCCATGAGGCTGGATTACTTGAGAGTAAACATGGACTGCTTCTAAAGTACACCTCAACTGCTGCTTTCTTTTCAGCACAGGAACATAACGATTTCTTGCATTTCATTATACTAGAAGTATACCTAGTTAAGAAAACAAAGCAGACTGGCAGGACATGATTGTGCTGAAGTAACTCTTTCCTCTCCCCCTCTATTTTAAGGATTGCAGTGCATCTAAGGGGTGTTACCATATATGGTAGAGAGAGGGAGTATCCTTTCCTAAAACGTGTTCTTGAAACTGTTTTACCCATCCCCAAGACACACAAAATGAGCATTCATGAATTCTTTTTTCACAGGAAGCCCCCATTCCCTTTGAGACTCACTCAAATCTTCCTCAGAGGACAGAGAAGTGCAGATAACTACACACAGGAGCTTCTTTAGTATGTGGCAGTTTATAGCATTGTTTGCTATAGAAAGGTGTCAGCAGGCAGCCCCCTCCCTCTACAGTCATCCATTGGTTAGGTTTCCTGATCTTTCTTGTGACTGGGGGTAAGTACATTAAAAAGCCAAGAGTGAGTACTGATGGAGTCTGACTTTTACCATCTTTTGTGACTTCTAAATCTCCCAGCCTGTATACTTGTCTTTCCCCTTTTTTCCTCTGTTTGCTCATGTATCTGCTAGTTACTATCTGGTCATTTGTGGTTTGCCCTACAAACTCTAAATTGAAGACCACCACAGTTTTATATTCCTTTGAATTCCTGCTTCTGTGCACTGTTGCTTCTGTCTGAAAGAGACAAGGGTAGACTGACCATTGTGACATTGTGGTGGTGTTACATGTCTGAAGGAGTAACTTGCCATTGTGACTATACAGTACTGCTGTTGTCATAGCTGCAGTCATCCTGGCATGAGGACCCAGAACAATCAGCAAGCAGCCCTTACCTGCATTTTGTGGAGACCCAGACAGCACCTGAGCCCCTCAGGAGGGACAGCTGAGGGTCTCCATTCTTCAGATGAGGGGAGGTATGCAGCATAAGTTGAGCCCAAGACATCCCCAAGCCCCTGGGAGCAGTGGCATCAAAAGGGGCAGATCTGAACTCTGCGGTCTGAAGGAAGTACCCAGCTACAGAAGAGGACTTCTTTTGTTTAAGAAATTCCTTGTGAGGAGAATGCCTTCTAGATTTCTGAGGTATTATAGCTGGGCCTTGGGCTGGGATGCCAATTACTGCATTAAAACATTGATCACAGGCTTGAGAAACTGCTGAAAACAATGCATCAATTTCCAGAAATCTTTGACTCTCTGTATATCTGGAATACCTGATTCTTTGCTGTATTTACTCTGTTGGCTTTCCACAGTGGACTGATATATAAGTCTCACTATGGCCTTCTTCCCCTTGGTTTGTTGACTTACTCAGTAGGACATCATCTGTCTTGATGGTTAAGAATAGAGATGTGCCCAAACGGGCACAATGGCAGTTTGTGATGGTTTGTGGTTTGTCAGTGTCCATGAATCATGAATCATGCTGTCTTTAAAAAAAAAAGAAAGAAAAAAACTGGTTTGTGGTTTGTTTGGTTCAGGCCCATCTCTATAAATGCCAACATGCTAATAAAGAAGGCACAGAAGAGGCTGTATTTCCTGAGAATGCTCGGGAAGTTAAATTTATCACAGCATTTACTTCTGTCCTACTATTGTAGCACCATTGAGAGTGTCCTAACCTATGGCATTCTGGCATGGTTTGGGAGTAGCTCTGTAGCGGACAAAAAAGCTCTACAGAGAACCATTAAAATTGCCCAGAATATCATCGGGCTCCAGCTACCAACCCTGGATGACATCTTCACATCCCGCTGTCTGAGGAAGTCACACAGCATCCTGAGAGACTCTTCCCATCCTGCTTATAACTTTTTTGAACTGTTACCATCTGGCAGAAGATATAGAACAATTAAGACTCGGACCACACGTTTTCT